CCTTTTACACTACTCAAAAATTTTAATATTGGCCTTATAAATAAAATAAGTCATGAAAGCAAATAGGTTCCTACTATTCTTAAGTCGATTTTTCTCCTAAGAGCTGTTAGGGGGTTGTACTTTAAAAGAGTAAACCTTACCTAATAATTAGTTAGTTTTATTTTTGAAACTTATCATTGTTCCATCTCAGGGTTCGACCACCAACTTTACGAGGATTCCACTCGTGCTAAACGTAATTATTGAGTCTAATTTTACACCCGACCTATGATCTATTAAGTGTAGGGGCACGTTGTTAACTATTGAACAGGTTCGTTCTAATTATAGAACACTTTTTTGTTTTAATCTAACTTCTCTGGATAGATCATCACTCACTATTCATTCTTTCATCATTCCATGCCGTAGCATAAGTCGTTCTCTCACCTATCACTCGTTTTTAAGCATTAGTTACTCATGTGGTGCTGTCGCTCAAGCTTTACTTCGTTCTCTGCCTCTGACTGATGTACAGTGAAAGTTTGTGCTTATTTTTGTGTTTCTGAAAGTAATCTTTTTAACTGACCAGACAACTGCCTTAGCGTCCATCATCTCGAACTTTTGGAAGGCGTTATCATTATTCGACGAATCAAGCCATTCTTTTCTAACGGATTTAGATAAATTAAACTCGAGACCACGGACAACGTTAATTTCTATATTTTTCTTTTCTCTTTTATCTAACCCTTGCCTTTCTCTATTATCCATCCATTATTTACTGATTTTTTTAGTCCTAGAGATGTAATGTTTTTTTCGAGCATTTAACGAGGTCTAAGCAGAAAGTGTCCCATCGTATGAATGTTTTCTGTTATACTAACATGGCGACCTGGAAGGTGATCATCTACAGCATATGGCTTCACATCTCGTTCACACCAAATAAACTTTTCACGAGTACTTAAACGTAGCATCGCTTTCATAACATACTCTCATTCACCGATGACGCACTTGACTTCTAGGATTTTCCTAAACGCCTTTTTAATTATTCTCGGCCAATATTACTCGGTTCTGAACTTTATTTATATTTTTCGTTTTATAAATATTTTATTGCACTTAAATAGAAAATTATGTCGCCTATTACCTATTTTTTAAATAAATCCACTCTGATCCTTACAGGCAATGCAATTGGGAACCATTCTGATAGGACACTTATAGGTAAGCAACCTGATACCACCGAATTGGTTGGTTCTGATGTCGAAGCAACTTCCCCCCGTCAAGTCGTAGCCAGTACGATTGCAACTGCACCTCCTACCTTCCATTCCCTCAATTTTGCTGCTGACTCTCTAGTCTGTCAGAACTGCCGACCTTGTTCCGCTCGACCTCATTCGCCTTACTCGTCTTGCTCGCCCTCTCCAGACTCCCAATCTACTTTATCCACATCGCTTCATCCTTCCATATATCCCCTATCCTGCGGAAATTCTCATTCTTACCAGAATCACCTGCACCACAACAAACAAGAGAATGTGTATTCTCTAAATCAGCAGCAAGGACAACATCCTCATCAACCAACGGCGAGTGCCCCAATTAACATAGACGCCGATGGATGGCAATATGGCCCTCACGGAATTCGAGTGCTTTCTTTGGACGGTGGTGGTATCCGAGGCCTTATCACGATTCAAACTCTTCGTGCTATCGAGCGTGCTGCCCATCAACCTATCAGAGATCTTTTTGACTGGATCATTGGTATGAGTTGGTGATATTTTCGCTTTATAGAATTTATAGACTCATTGGTTCTATCGAACGCATGCTCAATGAGCATTGAAAAAAAGAGCCTTTGTCGGCACACCTTACCTTACCTTACTTATTCTTCTATACAAATAATTAATCATTTCTTACACCTTTACCAGCTTGTACCTTTTATTTATGTTTCTTAAGATTCAGAAGACAAAGCTCTATTCTGTCTCCTGGTTTGAAGCGGAAAACATATTGTTAATCTTGTTTATGAATTTAGTTTAACTTAATAGCACTTAAATCAGCCGTGAATTTAACCATATTCAATTTTTTTGCCAATCCTAAAAGAATCCAAATTTATATCAGCATGCTATATCCTAAAGCAATTTTCCCAGCTTTAATCAAGGCTTACCTTGCTGATTACGCCTTTTTTAACAAATTTATCAGGAACTTCTACCGGCGGTATTGTCGCTCTGATTATTGCTCATGGAAAGTGCCTCCGCTACTCGCGTAGCCTTTACTTTGAGTTCAAGGAGCTCGTTTTTACCGGAAAGCGTCCTTATGAAACAGAGTCGCTCGAAAGTTTCATGATTGATGAATTTGGCGAGTCAACAACCATGACAGACCTCAAACCTGCACGGTGGGTTACCAGGTCTTTCTTGCTGTTCGATCTATCTCCTCTAACTCTTTCTTTTACATAAGGCGTTTAGCATAATCGTGGGTTCTCGTATTTATTACAAGAGGAAGCACACTAATTATAGTGTTGGCCCGATCTTGTTTTAGCAACTTGCTCAGAACCTCAGAGATACCTTTCGGAAAGTACCTAGTTTGTCTCCTCTACCATAGCATTCGTGCTTTACAGCTTCGGACCATTGACTTGGTACATTCCTAAACATTTCGCAGGCGTCGTAGTCGTCATCGTCAGTGAGAGGTGCCATTGTAAGCACAGATTTACAACTTCTCAGAGTGACTCATTTTTTGTTCACCCCTTGTGGCATTACTCCTCGCCCCTATTTGATGTTGTACCTTCGTTCCTTCAATCCAACTTCATATGGCCCATCCACTTATTCACACAATTCTGTGCTCTCGTCCCCTCCAATGTCGCCTAAGAGTGCGTTGCTACAAGTGGGTTTAATGAAGCGTAATCATTTCCACCACGGTACCAGATGCCGCTTGCAGGGCTCATGACCTACATTGTGTCTGCACTTTTTTTCTTATCCACTTGCCAATTGGTCGCTGCTATACCTCAAAAGTACTGTCTTGATGCCTAAAAGCCATCAATTCCTACCCCGACTACGCCATATTCGAGGATTTAGATAACATTATACCCATCTCCATGCTAATGCTTGGGAATCTTCTTCTCCCTGGCCTTCAAACCCATTACTTGGTTATCCTTTTTCTCACTCCCATCTACATTGCGACTCATTCTTTGGGGCCCTGTGTCCTACCTAAATCATAATCGCGGCGTAAAAATGCACTGCTTCCCTTTTTCCCGTTGAATCGCGAAAAGCACACTCTTCTTGTCCTTTAAGTTGACACTACAATTTTATCCCAATGTACCATGGGGGCAGCCAGATTTTAGACAATCAGACAGTGATTTTGATGTTTAGCAGCGACCAACTTACCATTGTGGTAGGAGAAAGGGGGGAAGAATGTAGATCAGGAGCCCTACAAACGGCACCTTGTGCCGGTGGGGCAGGTGATTACGCTTCACTAAACCCATCTGTAACGACACACTTTTATGCGACATTGGAGGAAACGAGAGCACATAATTGTGTGAATGGGTAGATGAGACATATGAAATGGAGTTGAGAGGAGATGCAGAATGAGAAATAGGTGAGAAGTGATATCACAGCGGTTCAACAGAAAATTGGTCACGGGAAATGCCTTCACTTATCACTTTAATAGGATGTAACTCTGTGCTTACGATTGCGCTTCTCACTGGCAATACCGACTATGATGCCAGGAATGTACCCAGGCACTGGTCCAATGCTGGAAATCACGAATACTATGGCAGAGGACACGAGATTTAGTGCGTTCTGCAAAATATTCCTGACGCTCCATCCAAGTTGCGAAAACAAAGTCGAACCAACACTATAAAGGAGACTGCAGACAAACAGACCACACGATCCTGGTCTTCATATCTAGATAATAATTATAATTTATTAGACTTCGTGATGTATATTGTCCATCTTTTCAGTCGGGCCTGCAAAATTGATTCATTCTTACTTAACTCGAGACAGCATATCACCATACTTTGGGATTCTTGAATTTTTTTGTACGCCTTTCTTGATTAATTCAATAAGGGTGTTCAAATTGGTGTCGAGTTTGCTCTACTGGGTAAACACTGCGTGTAAATATCTTATTTTTCAACTTACTTCAGCTTGGCTACTATAAATACAAAAATCTCATTTTTATTTCTCATGTCAGCACTCACATCTCTTATAGCTCAAGCATTGACAAACGCGAATCGGCTTTCCATTTCAAAGGAAAAGTTGGCTGGATTAGATTTGTGATTTGGCCTTAACGGAAATCGAAGGGAGATAACCTTGTAACGGAGATCTTTTGATTGTACGAAGAAGTCCCTTACCCCCAATTAGAGATACCACTGCACAATTTTTCATTTGGTTTCAGGCCTGTTCACTCATCAACTCGTGTGGTCGTTTTATATTGCTGAATGGATTAACAATGAATGTAATTTCCACTGCGGGCATGTTTGGTAACAACTTGAATGTCATTAACCCTTCTCTGGAGCATACATGATATGTCCGCTCAATTCTAACTATCTTGTCAGACACTCCCACTGCACTTCACTATAACGGACTGCTGTGATGAATTGAACAGACTTAATATCGGCCATATCTTTGCTCGGACCTTGCTGTGTTCCATAGCTTAGTATCATGAAGCCTTATTTCGATGCAAAGCCGTTCGATTCCGTTTTAGAAATTCAATGAAACTAATAATTTCCAGAAATGGCATGACGGTCCTCTTCGCTTAGTTTCGATGCTCAAATGGCTTTAGTTAGAGTGTGCTTCATGTACTTTGTATCTGACTTTTATATCCTTTAATGCTTACCTGCAAAACTTTAATTTCCAGTCAGCTAACTCTTGTCACTTATCAAATTAAGCCTCCTTAGTGGATCAGTAAATCAGATTCGAGCGAGTAACTGACGGATACAAACTAGAACGTTAAGTCTATCTAATTGTTTCAAGCTTTTACATTTGTTATGGGTGTACTTTGAGACTCAGTAGATCTTCCACAAGAACTTCAACCATCTTAGGTCGAATATAAGGATGCTGGGTTTATATGCGAATTTTTCCACAATTAATTTCTTAGCATTTCATTTTATTCAATACTCCTGATAAGTAGCTATAGTTTGACAATCAAATACCTCTTATGTACTTACTCAACAGCGCATGAACAGATTGTGGAACCTTTTAAAGTTTGCGCATCAGATATACCGCATCATTTAGGATCCCTACCACTTTTACTTTTAAATCGTCTCGTGTCAAATCAATAATATTTCTAGAAGTGGGTTGACCTCATTGTCGCAACTTGGCCTTGTGTTCAGGGAGACTGCAGAACGCACCGAGTCCGAAGTTGTCTGCCATAGTAGTTGTCTTGATTCCTAGCATCTGACCGTGGACTTG